AAAGGCATCATATTCACTTAACTTACCGGTTAAGACTCTCGATCATTGTCTTGTCTCTTACTGCGTAAGATTCTCAGTCCTTATTATATTAACCCGATAAGTTAAATAACCCTATAAATGATTACCTAATTAGCATGACGAACGATCGTGTGAGAATAAGAGTTAAGATGAGAAGTGTAAGAAGAGATTTTGACTCTTGATTACTTTTAATCTCAAATCAACCTAGAAGGGATTTGGTCCGGTACTTCTTATTAGTGTTATCTAGTGGAACTCTTCAATTAGTATTGATCCAAGAGTGGATGTCCCTTCTTAACCTTTTGAACGCAACCCAACCTCAGTTAGTTGATTAACTGGGTTGGATTCCGGTGAGAAGCGTAAGAATGGATCTCCACCCTTGGATGCACATTAGGATGAGATGCACCGAGATGAGATGCATTGGACCAATCGCATATCAAGCGCGATTCATGAGTGAGTTTGAGATTAAAGGTCATCAAGGGTCCAAAACCCTTCTTTCGCTTCTCACCTTAACTATGCTTCTCACACGGTATTTCATCGTGATGAACTGCCCTTACATTATCAATCAGTTCTTTCTCCCAAAAAATGTCAAAAGGTGATTTAAAGAGTTGGAGCTAGTAAGTTTGACGGGTTCAAAACCCGGAAAATTTCAAGCACGGCCGGAAATCATATTTTATTTAAGAAACATCTATTGGACGATACAAATTATATATTTAACTCATTATCTTATTGAATGCTACGTTTGATTTGTTGGGACCATTTGTTTAACAAATACCAAGTAGCATGTGGTCAAATAAGTTTTTATGTTGTAACAAATATATTATAAAAAAAAAATGAGTTGTTTATTTAGGTTTTAAATATTGATTGGATTCATCAACTACATGTAAATTAGGAGTCGTTTAATAATATTGTTTCAATCTTTTTTGAAACTTTATACATATATCATGATAACTGATAAATAGCAGTTAATATTCTAAATCTGGTATTTCAAAGTTTTCAAGTCAGAAAGAAAGACCTAATTACCAAGAACAAAAGATTTGACTTATTCATATTGAAGCCAAAAAAAGGAGGAAGGTTCGAGTTTGAAATTGAACCCTGATATTTCAAAACCCGAAAGGCAATCAACTTTGTAACATTATCCAAAATCATTTATTGGGTTTTAAATATCGAAATCTTTAGTTGGGAAAATCAAGCACGCATGATTCAAATAGATCAAAGACTTATAATATTGACGTCGAAGATGTATGACGAGATGGACAAAGTTGAAACTTTGACATATAAGAAAAACAAGAAACACGAATAGAGAAGAAGTCATAAGATAAAGGTGAACTTAATTGTCTTGTGTATTATTACGAAATAGAAATCAATAACTTGAAAGAGAATAAAGCCAGAAAGTTTCAAAAGAAGGATACCAAAGAAAACACATAAAATACATGTAAATTTGGGCCATAAAATTTTGAAGGCCCTGTTTGGAATCCCACATTTAACATGCTAAAAGACGACTCTGTTGTTTAATTCACGAAACGTTAACTGAGGAAGCACTTACCGACAATAGTTATCATCTTTACTTACTTTATTGAATAACATTTGTGGTCATCTAAATGGATTGTTGAAAAGTGTTTCTTACCTGGTAAGTGCTAACTGGATAAGAGTCTTCTCCTTCACTTATGAGGTAAGATTCTCAATATTTGTTATGCCTCTTAGCGGGTAAGATTTTCAGGTTTTTGTTATGCTCATCCGGTAAGATAAGTGGCATTTAAGGCATGTTTGCTAGCAGCTTAATGTGATTCACAACTTATTGACGACATTTATACATGACTGTTTGGTAGTGGCTTAATGATATAGATATTGACTTATTCAATAAGTTTATAGAGGGGAGCTTTATGTAGAAAACTAAGTTTTTTCCAAATATGCCCCTCACAATTAAAAAATCACGCTCATATCATCTATGGAAAAACCCTTCAAAACAAAAACTTTCCCAATGTATATAGACAGATTAATCCACACAGACAATTTTATTCCTGTAATACTTAATAGAAAGCTAGCCAAACAACCTCTTAGTAAGCGCTTACTCGATAAATGCATGGTAAGCATCCCTTTTTGTTCATACATACATATATATATATATATATACATACATATATATATATATACATACAAACATATATATATACATACATATAATATATATATATATATATGTAGAGGAGCGATCAAATAAAAACCACTCCAATTTGTAAAAATCGTAAAAACTACTCTCATCCATCGTTAATCTTATGAAATTTTTCATGAAATTATTAATCTTGTGAAATTGTTTCATATAATACCTTTTTTGATGAAGTTGTTTCATATGTGGTTATGAAATTGTTTCATATACTACTTAATGAAATTTTAATGAAATTGTTTCATGTATTTATCTAAAATTAAAATAATGAAGATGATAATATCCATGATTAACAGCCTCCACAATAAAAATGGTTAATTAACCTCTCATAATTACAAAAAAAATGAACAAAATGAAAAATTATGATTGGTTGAATGAAGTTTCCACGGTTTTACAAATTGAGTGGTTTTTATTTGAACTCACCCCTATATATGTATGTGTATACATATATATAATCATTGAGAACTCCAAAGTTTGTGAGATTAGTGAGAACTTCTACCTTAAGCTTTTTTCACATATTTTATATCCATAGAAGTATTATATTTAATGTATTTATTAACATATATTTTGTTTCACAATGTGCTTGTTTCATATATATTCGGTTCATAATGTGAAACTTTTTTATGTGTAATTTTTTGTTTCACAAACATGTAAAAGGTTTCACATTATAAACAAAATACATGTCAAACAAAAACATTGTGAAACAAATATATGTTAATTGTTATATTAAATTCTAGATATTGATGAGAAAAATCATATAAAATAGCACATGATTTACTAGTTCTCAGAGATCTCACAATAAAAGAGTTCTTAAAAAAGGTCCATATATACAAATAGGAAGAGGTTCATTTGAGGAGTAATAAGTATTTGAGAAATAAAGAAGTGATCCTCGCCCTTCATACAATTAAGGTGGTTAAGAATTGCGACTTTGATTGGTCAAGCGAAAATAAAAGGGGTAGTTTTGTGACTTTTACAAATAGGCGCAAACAAAGGCATGTGAACCAGTACGTATGTGAACCTATAGTTCATATGTGAATCAGTTAATTCATTCATATGTGAATCACACAGGTACATATACGAAGCACACATGTTCATATATGAATCACATATGTTCATGTGCGAATCAGTTAAATAGTCTATATATAAATTACACGGGTTCACAGACACAGACACACACACACACACACACACACACACACATATATATATATATATATATGAGCATATATTCAGATGTGAATCACACGAGTTCACATATGCACTTGTTTTGCCGCCTATTTGTAAAAGTTATGAAATTACCGTCTATCGTCCGTATGCCTTGCAAGGAATTATCCAAGGCTTCATACTCAAAGCCGTAAATCTTGCCTAGATGAAGCGCTATGATCACTTCTCTTTTCTCATATACTTACTACTTCTTAAATGAACCTATGGCTATACACATACACGCGCGCGCGCACACACACACACACACACACATATATATATATATATATGCACACACATGAGGGCGAAGGATTGTGTGAGAAATGTAAGAAAATATCTAAACTCTTGATCACTTTTAATCTCATGCTCATCCATGAGTTGCACATTAGAAGGGAATTGATCTGGTGCATCTCGGTGCACCGCATTAGTGTTGACATTCAATTAGGATTGATCTAAAGGTGAAAATATCTTCTTACACTTCTCACCATAACTTCACTTCTCATTGGAATCCAACACTATATGAGAGAGAGAAATATTATACAAACCCAACCGTTAGTACAAACCATACAAACCAATATCAATCGTTCATCTAGTGCAATGAATATATGATTTAATGAATATCTTGGTTGTTTCGTAATATAAAATATTGATCATAATAAATAAACTTTGATAATCTTCTATAAATATTCAAATCAATAAATACACTCTTATCATTTCTACAAATATCTCAATTAAGGTTTGTATGGTTTGTAAAAGATATCTCATCTCTCTCTCTCTTCCTCTCCTCCCCCCCCTCTCTCTCTCTCTATATATATATATAGAGAGAGAGAGAGAGAGACTTGAGATCATGTGAGACCAGACTATTTTCGTGAGACATATGATACCATCTTTTTACACTTGAAACTTCACAGTAAAACACTATGAAATTAGAGTAACAAAAACTGTTGTTGTTTGATATGAGAAAATATAATTGGTTTAATTTTATCTGAGAAACAAACAATTCAAACTTTTTTTATGGAATTCGTTACATGTGACAACCAGATGAGATTTTTAAGGAATTAATAATCCCTAAAATACATCTGGTTGATATGGTATCATATGAGATAGTTAAGAAAGATAATTATTATTAAAATATGAATCCGTTAAATGAGAAAGATACCCTTGTTTGTACAGTTTGTAACCTTTGGACGGTTTGCATTTAAGGTGAAAGATCGTGCAAGAAAAAAAAATTACGATGAGAAGCATAATAAGAGGTCTAAACTCATAATCACTTTTAATCCCATGCCTATCCATGAATTGTACTTGATACGAGAATTGATTTGATATATCTCGATACATTTCATCTTGATACATATTATTTTAATATACATATAAAGATAAAGAACTCTTCTCACACTTAACAGTAAATAACCGTAAATATTATTCTGCTGACTTGATAACAGTACGATTTTTTTCCAAACCTTTTGTTGACTTAAAGTATTTAAATTTTTAGATCATCTGCGCATATTACTTTATCAATGTTCAAATAATAACGCCATCATTAAATCATCATTATTATCAATATCACTCCAACGACTGCTTCTTCCTCTCTTAGAAGATATCAAAACAACTCATCATCATGGACTCGCCGGATTTCCCCACCGGCACCGCCAAGTCTCCCCGAACACTCCAAGGGCCACGCCCTGCCCCTCTCAGAGTCCGCAAAGATTCCCACAAGATCAGAAAACCACCGGTAGCTCCACCACCGCAGCAGCACCACCACCACCCCCAACAAATCCAACCGCAACACCGGCCGCCGGTCATCATCTACACCGTCTCCCCAAAGGTAATCCACACAAACCCAAACGAATTCATGACTTTAGTTCAGCGTTTGACCGGGCCACCCGCCTCCTCTCCTATCGCTTCTTCTTTCTCTGCTTTCCATGACGACGGAGGAGCAGTTTCACCGGCGGCAAGATTTGCATCATTACAGAAGGCGGAAAATTCACCGGACGGTAGGAAAGTGCCGCAAAACGGTGACGTGGCTGTGGTGGAAGGCGTGGAGATAGCTACTGGATTGGAAAAATCCGGCTACTTTCCCGGAATATTGTCTCCGGGACCGGCATCCCTACCACCGATCCCACCTAATTTCTTCTCCCCGTTGGCGAATGATCAAAACCCACTTAGTTTTTTCCCAGATTTAAGCCCCGTTTTCCATAACACCAGAAATTACAACTACTTGGAGGGTAACAGCAGTAACAGTTTCATTATGCCAAGCCCTTCAAATCTTCTCTCGCCATATCTTATTTCACCCAACACCCTAAACCTCTTCAGTACCCTATTTGACTGAGTACTTACGTACAACCTTTAGATGCATAGGGTATAAACTACAATAGCATGACACCACCCTTCATTTATATATAAAACTCAAATTCAAAACAAATTATTCCCAAATGTTGTATCTTATTAATGCCTGTAAGACGTTTTATTATCATTCTATCTTATTCATTAATATTATCTGCCATCAAAATGGATTGTTGGTAAATATTTTTTATACTATGTAAAAACTATAACTTATCGAGTAAGATTTTTGGTCATTGTTATACCTTTTATCATCAGATCATACCCAATATAAACACTTATCTGATAAACGTTAAAAAAACAGTAGCTTAGCCACCCTCATTGGGAAAGGTTTATGGAAATTTAAATTTTTGTGGTTAGTTGGAGAGAATAGGAGTGAGGTTTTATTATTATTGGTGGGTGGGTAGATGAAGACACATTTAATTTTAGGGAGATATCTTTTAGTATTTTATACCAATATTTTTGTAATGTATTACTTTGGTGAATTGTAATATGAAATAGTTTTGTTGGATGTAATGGTATTTATTAAGGGGTCGTTTATTAAACACTTATTTGGTAAGTGTTTACCAGATAAATTTCCTTATCGGATGAATATGAGAAGGGCCAAAAATCTTACCGCGTAAGAGCGATGAGAATGATGAAGAGTTTTACCCGATAAGTTAGGATGACGACTCTTAATTACTCAGGTAAGCATTTATTCAGTAAATTGTTGCATTCGATATGTTTTGATGTACTAAAATCTTGTTCATCAAAATAAATCATAGTGTTGACTCCTATCGGTAAGAGTTTACTGGGTAAGCAATGGGGTAAATAGCCCCTAATCTTCTTTGAACTGATTTTCTTATGGTAATTGGTGATCGCAGATCTGAGTCTTGTATTTATGTTTTAATATTAATTGTACTATCTTTTAAAGCATATTAAGAAAAGTCTTAAAAATAACTTATAAAGCGTATGATAATGTTGTTCTAAGCATAATTTTTGAGAATTCCTAATTACAACATGAGAAGCTAAATGTCAACTTGTCGATACCATACTTAAATGTCTCGTTCTAAGATTGGCTGTATCATGTGTCTCCCAAGGTGACGACAATTCACACAGATCCATCTTTTATAGTTGACGATTCAGTCTCTTTGTACTAAGTAATTATACAATTAGGGTTTAATTCGTTCTCCAGTTCTTGCTTTCATCTTCATCTTCTCCAGATTCAGATTCACCCTCCATCACTATGGTTTTTATCGATTTCAAGTTCTCACTTTAGTTAGGTGTCAGATACTTGTTCATCTTCATCTCTCAATTTTGATCATCTTCCTGAAAACACGGTTGGGACAATTGGATCTGTGTGTTTGCATTCCAGCATTAAATGTTGGACTTGTGGTTTGGTGAATTGAGAAGGTAACAACTGATTCAAGAATCTAAGTCCAAAGAATCTAAGTCCACTGTCATGTCCTGTTTTCTGGTTCGAGAATCCTCATTCTATATATTTACTTTTAACTATATCAATATATAGTTACCTACAATACCCCATTATCATTCTTTCTCAATGTCATATCCTGCTTTCGCATTGCTTATTAAATCCAGAGGCCCCATTTTTTGTATCTGTTTGTCAAAATCAGTTGGCATCTCAATTTGGTAATCACACCTTAAAACAAGGTTTTTGCATTCTTGTGCTTGTGGGTGGAGGTTTTCGATGGGTAGATGGTGATGGTTGAAAGTAGAGGCATAATTATAGGTAAATTTGGTTGTTAACACATAATAGAAATGTCTTCAGATTTATTGTAAACGATGATACGTAAATTTGGATTGTTCGAGTAACTTTGATACTGAGTTTCGACCACAAGTTACAAACAGTGTAAGTCGAATTATTACATGATTCTCTATTCCCGTCATGGGACATATTTAAATTCTTGAAAAACTATAGAAATAAACATGTTTAAAATAAACATGTTGATATGAATAATAAATAGATGCAGAACATTGTTCTACCATATATATATATATATATATATATAGAGAGAGAGAGAGAGAGAGAGAGAAAAGAGAATGTGTGTGTGTGTGTACGGGAGGATACAATGGCATCATCATCCAATTCCTCACATCAATTTGAGTATTTATTGTTAAAAAATTTCAACGTTAGTTACAACTATTAAAGTATTCAAGTATAAATCAATAATGTATACAAAATCTTTCAAAATTTGCCAAGAGTATATTTGTGCAATACAACACACATCTTTATTAAATCCTTCTCGATTTTATTATATGGATCTGTATGGTTTCGAGAAAGTGCGAGTCTTTTGTTGTTTATCAGTTTTATGGAGTATTTTGTCATAGTAGACGTACTTAATGCTCATATTGTATTTGAATATGTTTATCAGTTGCTTATTAATTAATTTTATAAAGTTTAAACATATTAAAAAGTTGTGTTTATGTAATAATTAAGTTGTAAATGTTATATAATATAGTAATAATAAGTTGTAAATATTTTATAATATATTAAAAATATTGCATGAATATATGTGTATATATATATATATATATATTCGTATATGAATATATAAATAAGAGTATTATTGGAAAAAATAAAAAAAATTCTCCTCATTAATTAGCTTACCGTATTTACTTCATTGAATAGTAACCGACTTCATCAATGATTTGATGTTTAAAGTCTTCATCCCTTAAATTTATTTATTTTTGACTTTATCAATAATTTAATGTCTAAAGTATTCACATATGGTGAGAGGTTGTTCCCTCTTTTCATATATTAACAAACAATGAACATTGTTCACTTATGCACATATGCCCTCACCAAAAAACCCAACATGTTCACCTGATTATATGTGTGCTTCTGAACATTAATCTCACGTGTTCATCCATCATATTCACTAATGAACAATGAGATTATGTTCAACTTATTACATACGGGATAATATATGGAAAAAAGGGAAGTTATTGATCATTTTCGTGCTTAGATAATTTAACTAAAATCATGGAACTGGATGTTTTGATAACAACCTATTAATGCAAATGGAATTAAGAGGATAAAGAAAATTACCAATATATCCTCAATATTTATTGCATGGTGGGAGATGAACATAAGATAAGAATAACTTGTGATTGGTCTAAAAGGTTTGTATAGTCAATGCATTTTTCATGGTTAACAAATGATCTTAGCTCTGAATAACTAAGGACCCGTTTACTAAATACTTACCCGGATAAGTGCTTACGGATAACATTTACCTTACAGAGTGAGCATGTCATGGACAGAGATTCTTACTCGGTAAGAGGCATAAAAAGACGGAGAGTCTTACTCGACAAGTGCTTAACAAGTTTTTAGACACTTACCAACAATCTATATTGGATGGTCGAAAATGTTACACAATAAGGTAAGTGATAGTGATGTTGAATGTCAATAAGAGCTTACCTAGTAAACTGTTGATCCTCTATCTCAGTGATTTGATGATAATCCCTTTTTCACTTACACGTTGTATTTATGTTTCTGTCTTTTCAGTTCCAGCGACCTTCACTGAGTATGTTCAGTGATCGCTGAAGAACTTGCATTGTAAATCTATCAGAGACAACAATACTTCAAGAAGACAACACTCACACCAAAGAACCTTCAGCAAACGTCGAAGACGGAAACTGAAGATTAGAGACTGGCGAGTACGTGATCTGAAGCGGTATTCAGTGATTACAAGTCTGTCTACATATGTGTGAAGACTGCTCAAGCTTCAGCGAATGATGAAGAGACCTTCAGGTCATTCCAGCATTCAGCGATCAAAGGAAGCTTGCTTAGCACGATTGTTGTTGTCTTGTCCTTATACACACAAAGGACAAAACTCATACCCTTATGAAAGTTGGTACGGTACGGAGCCGACTAGTCGACTCTATTGTCCACCAACTTTAGGTAAGGATGTCTACTCATGAATAATGTTTTTTGTACTATTCATTGTAGCAAAGGACAAGCTTTCCTCTTAAGGCTTGACACGCACTCTAACCCTACCATATTGCATTAAATGTCCATTTAATGCACTGGGTATAAATAGAAGTGTTTCTTCTACATGCAGAGTGCGAGCAACTCACTCTCTAACCCTAATTCTTACTTCAAACATTTTCTAGCTTAAGTAAAAGATCTTCTCTACAACATTTATTTTCTTGTATTTGCTAAGACTTAGTGTGTAACTAAAGATTGTTTAGATATGTTTTTATCACCTTATCTTTCCGCTAACTATCTTGTAAAATCTGTATTGATCTTCTTTATCAATATATATTTTAAATTTGAAAATATTGTGTTTGTATTCACCCCCCCCCCTCTACTAACTGTTTTACTATTCTTGTAGACCCTCAAAGGACCAACATAAACAACCCCTAAGTTAGGCCCGAACATGTATCTAACGCCCAATTGATTTTTTTTGTAATACTTTTTAATTACTTTTTAGTAGTTAAACTGTTTTTGAGTAAATTATGGATTTGATCTCTGTGGGACACATAATTTTATAAATATTGGTCCCTAGACTTCATCTATTACGTAAAATATCTAGTATTATGAGTTTTTCATGGATTTGATCCTTGGACCAAACGCCCATTTAATTGGAGACATTAACTCAGCCAGTGTGCATAACTTGAAGGTAATATCGTTAATTTATATTTTCCCTCCCAATTCTAATAACCATATTATATAGGGGCATATTTTGTCAATTTCCAAAACTCAAGAACACCCTCGCACTCACTCTCTACACCAACACCTAAAGACGGACCTACTAAGCACTGAGCAAACTCTCATGTCCTCGTTCACTTGATTATTGGAGGGAAAAAATATAGACGTCGTAAAGATGCACCCGTTTGATTTTTTGAGTGCCTTAAATTTTTTTAATACCAATTTTATAACAAAAACCTAAGTTGGGTGGGATGGTCTCTTTTAGGAGGTCTTAGATTCAAATTCCATTTGCTGCAAATACGCATATTTTTGGGTTCATGACCGGTGAGTCAGTAACTTATATCTTCACTCTTATTTTTTTAATCGTAAATCACTTTTGAATACTCTATTATTTTCATCTTCATTCCTAAATTTGTTTCCACTTTTTGTTGATTAACTACAGCTTCACGTCCTCTTGTAAATTA